ATCATCGTCTTGTGGTGGGTGGTATATAATACCGATAATTAGGCAAGAAAAACCTCGTGGGAGTCGGTTCGGACGGAGGTATACCCAAAGAGATTCAAATGGGGAATCATTAAGTTCGTCAATTGTTGTGAAATCAATTGATGATTTGATGTACGTACAAACACCACCACCACGTTTATCAGCGCTTCGATCTTTCCGTACTAGCGTGTAATCACTAATGTCGACTACTGAGTTGGAAATATTATTGGTCAGCCAAGTTTCTGTAATACAAACTATATCCACGTCGTTTTGGTTAATGACAACTTCCAGATCCTCAATTTTATTAACGAGTGATCTTGTATTAGAAAGGAACAAAGAGGGTAAAGAACTTTTTTCTTTTTCTCTCGAAGGAACCTTTCTTGTGGATGTTAAATTAATATGTACCAAGTTACTTCGTCTCTTTGAGTTAATGTTTGAAGTATTATTAGAATTACAGTGGTTGTAATTTTGTCTCTGTGTAACTCTAACAGGAATAGCTAAGTTCTTTTTCTTATCATCCCATGAACAAATTCTAGGTAATTCAACCAATCTTTCTGATTTTGTTGTGGTTGATGGTTGGGCTGGGAATTTTGATAGAACTGGAAATTCTGATGAGGTCGATGATTCTGATGGGACCGGTAATTTTGATCGTATCGAAGGTTTGGGTAAGGGGGATGATTTGGGTGAGGCCGATGATTTAAACGGCGCCGTCGAAAATTTGTCAGGTGAGCGGAATGGAGTGATGTCTGATGGTTCCCTTGATGCTTGGGAATTTCACTCATAGCATCGAGAGGAATCCGATCGGTGGTTTTAGTTATGCCACGTTGGGATTGAGTATTAATTTGTCGTTTTGCATAATAGCCATGCCTGTATCGCTTCGAGTAAACCTTCTTCTTATTGGGAAGCTTACTTTGTTTATTTTTCTGCATTTTTGATGATGGTAACTCAATTAGTGGCAAATTTCCCAAACACATAGGTAGCGTCGTTTTGGTTTTACACCGTCTAAATGGTTGACCTTGTAGTTTACCTTCTACGGTATTACAATTTGATTTAGAATTCTCACATTGATAATCACGAACACTATTTGAATTGTTACTGACTTTACTCTGTAGCTTATCACTTTGATGTCCATGTGATAAACAAAACTGTTCATCCTGTAGAACTACTGATTTATTACAGGGGTTTTCACTGATTTCGTTTTGTTTACTAATTGTATGAGTATTTGATTGTTCTCTGTTCGCGATGGTTGACCGCTCATCTGTTATATTTTGTATATTTTGCATGTTAATCATTTGACTATGAATTTGCTCAATCGCTTTACTGTTCTGGTATATATTATTGGAGAGTCTCGACTCCGTTATTACGGCATCCAACTTAACACCTTCGAGTTCAATAGATAATTGATTACAATTGATTGATTTAGGCCACTATTTGTTGCATATTAGTTTCTCATCCGGAGCTTCACCTAAAGTTGATGCGGGCGGGCGGGCCATTACCATTATGCCATTATTTGCCGGATTTCCCCTCTCCGTAAATATTAAGCACAAAATTAGTGAGTGCAACTGAAACCATGTTTTCATATTAAAAACATGGCCGCTCCACACGGTGGGCATAAAAGACAGCGAATTTGGCCAAGTACATATAACTTTCTCTCGTTAGTTTGGAATATCACGAAACTCCCTCACAGGATAACAACAAGGCACTGCGAAGATATGGCGATTCAAAGTTTTATTTTTACTGAAAAATCAGCAATCAATTTGTTACTAAAAATAGATTTTTTTCGAACTTTGAATCACCATATCTTCGCACTGCCTTGTTGTATTTTTAATGTTTTTACAATTTTGAGATCCTTATAGGACAATCTTTTCGAAAAAGTTACTAGTATGTTCTTAGCTCGTGTTTATTTTTTTGGCGCCAAAGTTGGCACGTCATTTTCCCGCCAAAATGTAACAAAATCGAAAAACAAAAAAGATACGATTTTTAGGAATATTAAGTTCTGTCCTGTGAGGGAGTTTCGTGATATTCCAAGCTAACGAGAGAAAGTTATATGTACTTGGCCAAATTCGCTGTCTTTTATGCCCACCGTGCCACATGACCACATGCGAAATAATTCATACAGAGTAGAGAAATAATTTTGTAGCCAAGTCGTCTCGCGTTTTTTTCCCTGGGCCCCTGGCTTGATCAGGTAGAACGTTTACGTAAATGCGAGAGAAACTGGCAGTTTTGGTATGAAATTTCGTATCTTAACTAAAACGTTCGGTTTGGGAACGTTTCTAATTGTCTTTCTTTCAAATATCATTTTGAAGACATCACAAAATTTATAATAATGGTCAAAAATGGCAATAATGGCAATAATGGCGAACATGATCATTTTCCAAAAAAGCATGCGGGCGGGGATGAGAAACTAATATACAACAAATAGTGGCCTTATCACAGCAGTATTAACTTCAAATACTTTGTTTGTTTACATTTACATTTAGTGACCTGAAATTATTTAAATAAGCCATTATTAATAACAGAGTGGCCAGGTTGACAAAGCTAAAATCTGATGAACCTCAAGGTCTTGAACTGCTAGGATATTTTAATAGTCAAACATCAGTTTCAGCATTTATTCAGCATTATTTAATGTCGGTGAGTTAATGAGTATTTTTAATATCCATGACAACTGCAGCTGGTCAGGGATTTTTTATGGAAAAGGTTTAGCACCCCATCGTAAAAACCTGCCCCCGAATCTTAGAATTTCATTATTTTGTTCCCTTGCCCCTACATATATTTTGTTCCCTTGCCCCCTATACAAAGGTATAAACCTTTTGTACCCTTGAGATCTTTTAAAAAATTGCCTAACTCTGCAGTGTGGCTTGTAACCTTGTTGCCATAATTATTTTCTGTAGGCTTCAATAAATTTCTACTCTAACACCTGACAGAGATGGGGGCCATATGCATGAACGAGAAGAAATGATTTCTTCATCTATCGACCCCTTACCTTTCACCAATTTTTTTAATAAATTAATTTATTGAATGATTTTGAAGTTTTCTAGATTATTGAAAAGAAATTTACGGGTACAAGATATGGGGCAGAAACAGTTAAATTAAGCAAGATATATGCAAGTAACAATGAACAAGACCAGATCACTGGATGGTATTTCAGCACACTGGTGGACATGCAACCTAATACCTGCAACCTGTGTCACATTTATATAGTTTTACACTGTACTTGAAAAATAATGTTAAGGAATTTGTAGAGATTCAGAATGTACACTACATGGTTTATTCAATCACCTGCATGAATCATTTTCATCCTATGAATATTTAAATTAGTCTCACTTTATAGATAATATTTATATCAATTTTTAATATCATAAATGAATATAGTGGCTTTTGATTATACAAGTTATAATAATGTATCAGCAAATAATGACTGGTCTCTCTGAAATCCATACAGAAAGATTCAAATTTGACTTCCACTACCACTACTTGATCTGGCAGTTGCATCCAGTGTTTGATTGGGTGGATGAAACTTGTCTGGTTAGTTAATGATAGCAATAGCAGTAGTGGAAGTCAAATCTGATCTCTCTATTATTCTTTCAAGATTTGCTCTAGTCACTTCAATTCAGGGTTGCCCATACACAATTATTGTTGACTTGGTTAGCACAGCTAGCTCTTCAAGTTGGAGGTCCAGTTCTTAGGATTCTGCAAATTAATTCTAGAAAACTGGCTTTGGTTTGGGCTAAGCAAAAATCATCACACTGTTTACAATGCTGATTTGGTTGTTTAACAGTTAAAGTCCAGGCTGCATGTTTTTTTGTCCTGCATATGGCAGATGGGACAGTCCGGTTTCCAAGTGTTTATGTGGGGAATTAATATTAATCCTGGCTTCTGAGTGAAGGTCTTGCCAGCTTTATGCAAGACCTTCGTGACGTGAGATTACAATTGCTACACAGCATGATCTCAGGGCTCTTCCTCTGAAACAATGCTTGGTTGCGATATCATCCAGCAAGTGCAAAAATGCACTACCACGGTCAAGGATCATTTGGCATGTTCATCGACTATGTTAACCCATTGAGTGGCAGCATGCACTTTCCCCCTGACGAGTAAAATTGTCTGGCGTTAGACAGAGTAAACTAACAAAGTAGGGCGCATCTGGGTGCATTGACTTAAAGGGTTAAAACGTAAATACCACAGCACAACACTTGTACATATACAACAGCAATCCTTTTATATATTTAATAGTCATATTTACATATTGGTGAAATATCAATGTCCATATATTAGGGATGTCCATGAACTTCAGAACTTGTTCCTAGTTTGAAGCTGAAGTATTCATATCTTTTGTATCAGTTGTCCCTCTACTGATACAAACCAACTTTTAGTCATTATACAAGAGTTGAATTTGCATTCATTTGCTTCGCAAGTCGCAACAAACTAAACAAAGTACTAAACCATAAACCTGTGCAATGATCGAGCGTCTTGAGCGACATATCCAAGTCTTTCAAACGTCGCATACGAACAAATCTCACTGAGTTTTTTCCACAGAAAGTATTGATCCATTTGATCGATCGCCGTACTTTGAGAAAAGCTTGAAATGCAAAATTCACAGGGACGATTGAAGAATTTCGTACTAAAAACCTAAAAACTGTTGGTCGTCGAGTTTCACCTCTATAATTCACCCCCCGGATCAGAAAAGTAACAATTACGTAATGTTTGAGTCACGTGACCAGCGTTTACCAGGGCTACGCCGCCGCCTTCAATTCGCGGCTAGCCCTGGGTACGAGGTTGGCATTTGCATTCCTTTCTGAATGCTATGCTTCAAGAAACAGTCTTTTATGGTAATTCTGTTCGCGGTCAATGATTTCAACATTCTTAAAATCCACCACATGATCTTTTTCAGCGACGTGTTGTGCCACCTTGGAATTTTCCTCGTTTCCTCCAATTACTTTCTTGTGTTCTGAAACCCGTGATTTTAATGCTCTTCCTGTCTGACTATATACATAGAAAGCCAATCTCGTTCCCCGAGCCTGCGATCCTTGGGAAGGAAACGAAGGCTCTGGGATAATCCGAATCAGACATACAGAAAACTGTATGTCGACCGAACTGCGCATGCGTTGGCAAAAGCAAAACAAATTGTTTGAAATATTTTATTCTTTCGTCTATAAAATGATTATTTTTTCGGGGTTTTGGTGGAAATGTTGATGTTCTTCATAGTGAGATACAAAAGGTGTGTTAGCGACTGAATAAGGAAAATATTGCGTGTGAAACAGGGTCAATATAGATCCGGCAGGAACCGCGAAGAGTGCTGTTGTCGACGAAAAATGTCACAATTAATTGTAATCTTGTCCATTCACCTCTGTGTCGGTTTCAAAAAGTTTTAAATGTAGAGACATTTGTGGTTCCTCCAGCATAATTTAGCCGTTTAACGCTATTATGTTTCTAATGGTTGAAAGAGCGCATGGAAAGGGCAATTTAAGAACAAAAACAATTGCAATGTACTGTGTGTTGATATATTTTGCTACTGTAGTATTAAAATACCTGAAAAGAGTCTCAATTCTAATATTAAGTCGGTTATAAACCTTGATAATATTAAAGTTTTCAGAAGATTTGTATATCAGAGGAATATTAAAAGGAATTTAGACTTATAAAACATATCATTAAAAATATGAATATAGTGAATTCCATCTTTATATTGTGTTATCATCTCTAGAAATAAACAGTTTATAAACCAAATCTTTGTTATATTTTTTAACTGCCCTTATAGCTTTCCTTATACATGTTTTAATATTTGCCAGCAGTTTAGTAGGTTAGGGATGCAACAGCACTTTTCAAATTATTGAATTATAACCAAATTTTGTGTCTGGATAGGAATTACTATTAAAGATTTACATTTTATAATGATAGAGTTGGAGCAAGTTAAGCTGCAATGTGCCTCAGTTTGCCCTACTTTGTTATTTTAAGCTGTTTAACACCAGAATTTTTTCTCGTCAAGGGGAAAGTATTGGACTTGGTATTTGAATGGGTTAACCAGTCCATCTGCATGTCTACCTATCTTTGGTTAATTATCTCATTAGATCATTAAGCCACAATGCTCTTTAGTGCACCCTATTTTGTTATTTCACTGTACTTCTGGACAAAATTTCTCATCAATGGCCGGAAATGTACTCAACTTCATGTTGATTACTGCCATTAATTAATTAACTACTGTACTAAATAGGACATTCAAGGTTGGAGATATAATAGCAATAGAGGTTGCCATCATTGTAGCATTCAGGGCGTCGCTAGCCCAAATTGTCAGGCATTTGGCAATTTATTGTATCGCAAACGGGAAATTGTTTTCGTGGCCAGCATGATTTGAATTGGATAGGAAGGGAAAAAACCCTCCCCTTCTCAGAGTAGGTATGTGTTGTTTTATAGTGTAAATAACAAGTTTTGATATTGCAATCAAGCTGACAGGGTACTACCCTGTCATGACCATGGTAATAAAAATATTTCTATGGCTCGGCATTTATATTGGGCAATTTTTTATCATTCATCACAAAATTATACCTGCACCCTAGGTGGTTCCCTGCAGAATCCAATTAATACAACCTCGTACAGAGGGCAGGGCTTCTTTGAATTACTATGTGGACAAGATTAACGAAGGGATTGCCAATTTGGCATATTGTACTACTCAATAAATTGAAATCATTAAATACTTTATGCTACAATTAGCTGTAATATTATACAGTATATTATTGTGTTTCATATGACGTCATAAATTTGACGGGGGGTCAACTCTAAATCAAGACACAGTCATCAGAGTGAATTAATTTTTCACTGTATGTGTTGGCCTTGTGTTTGGTGGCAAATGCAATTTCATATCATTTTCTCACTCCAGTACAGCATAAGCATCAATACATTTTAGGTTGACCCCCCATCAGAACGTGCAAAATGCCATAGTGAAACCCAAGAATTCATTATATGTATTAGGTGTATGCAGACTGGAATACAATTAATATCACTGCCTGTGAAATTGTGGTTTATTTACAGAATAAAGGTTTTTTGAACTCTTCTATAAATAAATTATAACAGCAAAAGATTCATATGCACCCATATAGGGAAGGGTTACATGCTACAAGTTAAAATGAGTATTACATACTCCTGCACTTGAAAAGTTTACAGTACAGTATATACATTAAATAATAAAATATATAACAGTAAATCCCAAGATTGGATTTATTGAAACTAGTTATTAGCTAGTTCTTCGCAATTAAATAACACAAAGACAAATTAATAAAAGTTATTAAACATTTCTGACACAAATAGTATTTGCAAAAAAAAGCACATATTTGATATTATAGTCAAATAGTACAGTGTACTGACAGTACTGTGTACTATGTATAGATTAAAACTACAGAAAACCTGTACAACACAAATATGAGTAAAGTTTTCACGCTCCAT